TGTAATACTTATAATTCTGTTTGTAATTTGATTTTAAGCAAAACAGTAATATTTCTGTAAACGATCCTAAAAGAACTGTTGGAAACAACTTTTGATACTCCTGGAATTTGGATGAGTCGCAGATTGAGAGAGCATTGATTTTATTTTGCTTAAAAAAACTGTCACAATTTGAGTAACTATTATGTCACAGGCCTGCTTTGCAGCAATTGCGTTGGTGTTGTAATGTCTGTGTCTCTTGGAAGCGTGTTTGTCTGTTGTCTGTCTTGTTGATGGAACAAGTATACTGTTTCTCATTTCATCGAGGGCTACTTTAAACGTGTCTAGAGCTTGTTAGGTTGCTATGGGCGTTGTACTTCTGAGTTAGAGGATCCCATAAACAGCGTCAACGCGCGTGAACATTTTGTTGAAAAAGTGCAAAAAGAAGAGAAATGTTTCGCTCTTTGATACATTCAAGACACCATCGTGGATGGAATTATCGTCCCAGTGCTCAGACTGAATGTCTACAAGACAAAGCTGGATCTCTCCTTTCCAAATGAAAACTAATTAGTCGAGACTAAATTCCACCTTGTTTCAGACGGCCATGGAATATTCCAGTGACAAACGCAGATGCATTTTGTAGAGTGGGCAAAAAATGTCGAGGAGCCTGCATAGCATTAGCGAAAAATACCTCTGTTCCCCGACAAATCTCCCTTTTCATGACCGCGAAGGCGTGTTGGTGAGTTTGACAGGACAAAATACACCCGATGACCTTACACAACACGTGCCTGTTCTTTCTCACCCATTCCTTATTGTGAGACGTTGCAATGCGATGACCTACGACTAGCTGCGCTGCTATGTCTACTTGTCCGAAAGTATGATATTTAACGGCATTTTTTACGTGCGCTCTTGATGACTTTCGACTTGAATGCGTTGTTTCACATGGACAAGATCAGTAAAACCTGTCTTAGACTATTACTTGGGCTCCTCAGTTCCAAAAAGCAGACAGGAGAAACTGTAGGCCCAATCTAGGTGTACAAGGAGTATAATTTGTTGTGTAAGCCACTCCACTTTTTATTCATTGTTTTATTTTGATATCTTTAGTTCGGTGAGGACTTAAGTTAATTCATTCACTCTCTTCTTGTTACTTTGTTTGGTGAACTGAATGCATTTGCAATCAACTTCCTTCATCCTGCATTGGAATACACACTCGAGTAATAAAACTTTGACCACTACACCATTCCAACTTCTAACACAGTGACCTAATTACGTCATGTTGACCTCGCTCAAGTTCAAGGTTACAGAGGTGGGGCCAGAGATATAAATGGCAAGACAATGGACCAATCGCACATCGCTGGGAGCACTCCGGTGGATTGCTCCAAAGCTATCATACATAATACGGGCATTGAATCGTGTAAGCTGTCGTGAACTGGTTTGAGATTGCGTTATTTTTAGACTGCCTCTATGGGCTTTGTGAGGCTGGTGCACATTAAGATTGTGCCGCCTTATT